CTTCCCAAGGCTATCTACAAGTTCAATGCCATACCTATCAATATTCCAAGCTTGTTCTTCAAGAAAATAGAAGAGGCAATCCAAAAAGTCATATGGAACAATAAAAGACCCCAAATAGCAAAAATGATAATAGAAAGAACAGTGTTGGAGGAATATCAGTATCAATTTTCAAACTCTACTACCAAGCCATAATAATAAAAACATCTCGGTACTGGCACAAGAACAGACCTCACAACAAAAGGAATAGAATTGAAAACCCAGAAATGAACCCACAGACCTATAGCCATCTAATTTTCCATAAAGGAGCTAAAAAATACCTCTTCAGTAAATGGTGCTGGCAAAATTGGTTAATCAATTTTAGAAAACTAAAGCTAGATCCTTATATATCACCCTGCACAAGACTCAACTCCAAATGGATCAAAGACCTTGGAGTCAAGGCAGAAACCCAGAAAACATTACAGATCAAAATAGGAGAAACGATAGATCTCATTGACATAGGCTGGAATTTTCTTAATAGAAATCCAGAAACACAACAAATCAAAGAAAGGTTAGACAAATAGGATTGCATAAAATTGCAGAGCTTCTGCATGGCAAAGGCATAGCTAGCAATATCAATAGAAAGCCCACAGATTGGGAGAAGATCATCACTAGCCATACAACAGACAAGGGTCTCATATCTGAAATATACCTGGAACCCAAAAAATTTAATCCCCCAACAACAAATCCTCAAAGAAACAACTGCCCAATAAATAAGTGGGCTAAAGACTTATAGAGAAACTTCTCTGAAGAGGAAATTAGAATGGCCAATAGACACATGAAGAAATGCTTTATTTCTCTAGACATAAAAGAAATGTAAATCAAAACAACATTGAGATTATACCCCGCCCCAGTTAGAATGGCTATAATCAAAATATCTAATCACAACAGATGCTGGAGTGGATGTGGATAGAAGGGAACTTTACTGCATTGTTTTGAGAGTGAAAACTTGTTCAACCACTTTGGAAAGTAGTATGGAGGTTCCTCAAAAGACTCCACATAGAGCTCCTCTATGACCCAGAAATTACAGTATGGGGCATCTACCCAAATGATCACAGACAAGGCAATACTAAAGCTATCAGCACAGTACGTTTATCACAGCATTATTTACCATAGTTAAGATATGGGACACACCCAGATGCCTCTCAGTAGATGAATGTATCAAGAAAATGTTATATTCATATATATATATTCATATATATATATATATATATGAATTTTATGCTTCTATCAGAAGTAATTGCATTGCCCCATTTGTTAGGAAATGGAAAGACTTGGAAAAAATTATATTAAGTGAAGTAAGCCAGGCCCAAAGAAACATAGTTCCCACGGTTTACCTTATTTGCAATATCTAGTACATATGTAGGACAAACAGTAAAGGCCAAAAGCTATGTACATATGACCATATATGATGATATTAAGTGAAATGAACCCCAAGATAGGGACACAAATATCTTTTTTCTTTCTTACTATAGTTTCTAATGTATTTATAATGTGCCATGTAATTTTTTTGTTGCTTTGTATGTTCTCCCCTCATGGTATAACCCCTATTTTAACTGTATTTGTTGTCGTTGGCCTGTATCTTCTCTAATTCAGGGAGGAGAAGGGAAAAAACAAAATGCTTAGAAAAGGATACAAGTTGACCGATAGTAACAATGAGATGTACAAGACATTATGTTGAAAATGAACTTTACAACTTCGGCAGGGGTGTGTGGTAGTTGTTGAGGTGGGACGGAACTAATGGTAGGGGGAAAACAGAGGAGGAGGCAAGTATGTAGTGACGATAAACTCTAGGGAGGAAGCCAGAGACAAAATGTTGTTAGTAGCTGTATTCTTTTCTGAAAGGATGCCCTTTCTCTGTCATGAGAATGACTTGTCACAGAGTTGAACTTTAAGCTACAGCCTCATCCAGAGCTGAAAACAATACCCACCATTCTATGTCTTCTTCTTCCTGTAGAAAAAGACCAAATCCTCAGGGTTCTTGGGCACATCACAACACTTATGGCCTCTAGTGCTTGCCCATGTCCAACACACATACACACACATACACATACACACACACACACACACACACACACACACACACACACACACACACACATCAACATGCTGAAGAAAATTATCCTCCCTTGAAACCAAAGCACTCTTACTTTCTGAGTTGGTCCTATGATATGAAGTTCAAACTGGAGTTGAGAATTTCATTCTGTCTAGATGAGTCTTTGAGGACTTCACACCTACTGAACTCTTCAGGATTTCTAGTGTTAAAGAGAATTCTCTATTTCCTGAAGCCCAGCAGAGCATGGGTTTCCTGATCATCTTAGGAAACTATGCTCAGTTTCTAGAAATAACGCTTTTATGTTGTAGGTGCTCCATACATATGGACAACCAACCCCAGATATGTCTGTGTGACTAGAGTCTTCTCAGTCTGATCTCTGCTATCCTTGCTCTGTATATATCTAGGTTAGGAAATTTCTTCCAGATAGAATCTGGTGTCCTCTTCATAAAAATGTCTTCTTTGTTTTTTGCCTCATATAACTGAAACTAAATGCAGAGAATGTTATACTTATAAGGAAAGAGAGGCACAGAAAAGTTTCCACATCTGTGGACAGCACACTTCACAGGACCAGCCTAAGCTAGCACCACCACTGTTTATGGACACGTGGTTCTGACATCAGCCAAAAAGGATGCTTCTCTGAGCACATACTTCACAAGCCTATTCCTTATGTTCATCATGCAGATAAAGAGTCCCATGGTATTACAATTGGCACTCACCTTTTGAACAGATAGTTCAGTATTTGCTGGGTGTTAGCTAACTTATGGTAGGTGTACAGAAAGGGTGGGCTGTGAAGTCAAGTTCTAGAACACCTTGTAAAAGACTTAACCCTGTCCAGGTCACAGTGACAATGTGTTGTACTTTGATATCCTAATGGCATTAGGGAAGACAAACCATACATACAATGATTCTAGGGGCATAGAGATACTCTATCTTTCACTCAAATAGCAGGTAAAATCTTTGTTGTACTATTCATTTTGAGCAGAAATGCCCTATTTTTGCCATTAGTTTATGTGGACCATCTGCAATTATAATTCAATTCAATATCCCCTTAATTCTTACAAACACTTAATGGATACATACTTCATCTTACAAGATTATTCTTTTATTGTTATGATAAAAGTGATGAACAGATGGCTTACTGTTAAGTAAGTCAATTAATGAATACATTTCTTTTTGAACAGCATCAACCCTACCCTTTCTTCCTCCATTTTTTCCATCCCAATCTTGCTCACGAGTTGTAGATCATTTTCAAAATAGTGTCTAGTGATTATCTCTGCTGCATTTTGTCCTACAATTTCTATGCTCCCCCTTTACACTCCCCAAAAGAGTTAAACTTACATATAAGACAAAATGTACAGAAAATAAAAACAAGACAAAGAAAACATAAACAAAATATCGAAACCTTCATTTCCAAGTCTTTGAGTTCATTTCTATAAATATCATTTTATATGCTCATATGCAATCACTTATTGGGATTCATGACCCTCTTTAGAATATCCTCCTTGGGTCTCACAGTGTGAATGATTGGAGTCCAGTATAATTTATCATGTGTTTTTGTGTATTTTTTTGTCTTTTTCCATCCAGTGTATTTTTTGTCTTTTAACATCCAGCGTGTTTACGTTTAACTTATATGAATATTCTAGTTAGAAAAAAGGAGGGAAACCATGCAACCTATGTCTCTGTTGGTATGGCTTACTTTACTTAATATAATTTTTTCCACATCTTTCCATTTCCTTCTGAGTGGCACAGTATTATTCTGTCTTATGGAAGCATATAATTCCATTGTGTCCTTTTTTGATGAATTTGTCTTTTGTAGGACTTTACTCAGTGTCCTGGAAGCAATTGCTGTCTGCAGAGAGAGAGAGAGAGAGAGAGAGAGAGAGAGAGAGAGCCAGGCAGCCATGCCCCTGGGTGTATAGACCCCACATGTGTACACACAAGGCCAGCCCATGTGCTGATTAAGTGCTGCCTTTCACAGAGGTTCTTTAGGCACACACTTGCCGCCATCTTCCCTGGACACCTTGTCCAAGTACCAAGGATGCCCAATATTGTGAATGATCTTTGTTTTTCAGCACCCTGATGTTTAAGAGCTAAAACTTGAGATAAAGCACTACAATATGGACAAAAATGGAACATTTTTTTAAGTAGTAACTTCCTGATTAATACTCCAAATAGCTCAGTAAATAAGAACAAGAAATACCAACTGGGATTATATCAAACTAAAAACTTTTAGCACAACAAAGTAAACAATCAATAGATCAGGAACATTGTTGCTTCCTTATGCAATGGTAAATGGATGCATTTGTAGAGACCTCTGTATATTGAATCTGGATTGTAACCTGCTTGAATCAACCAGCAATGTTCTGTAGCTGTTTTAGATAATAGGTGTGTGAATTTACCATCAGGGTATGATGCAATAATATCTTTCATTGACATCTCACTGGCATATTTTTTTTTTTGGCCATTTCACCATGCACCTGAAATGGCATATTCTGATGCAATCCGATTGCGTCATCCCAAATAACTTTGATGCAAATATTTCCTTGACACAGATATTAGAGCAAATACATCAAAGACAACTTCATCCCTGGGGCATCACTATCTGAGGTCCTGGAGGAAATCACATTACTTAGGATGAAGAAGGAGAATCTGCAAACATGTTTTCAATTCATGTTTTACTCTGCATTCAGGGCCGCAGATGCAGAGCCCCAGGGAAGTTTTACCCATTCTTCCTGAGGATTCACAGAGGCTTTAATGAAAGATGCGCTAGAGTGTACCTCTCTGTCAATAAAAGACACATAGACACCAATAAAAAGATTTATGAATATATATACCTGACAGCCAGAATTTCACCTAGGCAGGTGCATCAAAAATGAGCCTTTTGATGTTCACAATTGTTCTTCTCCAGCTTCCCCTCCTTATCAGGTCCTGTGCTGGCACTGGCTGCTTTTCTACTATGAAGCAACGAGCACACATGGATGGAGATGTAATGATTGCTGGGTTTTTCCCTCTCTACACTTTGGGAACAGATCGCAGTCAAAGTGATGATTCTGGAGATGGACAGAACAAGCCGTAAGTAACTCATCATTGTATTTCCATTTACTAATTTGTTCTCAGGATGGGCAATGGTAACTCCAAGTGTACACATGTATGCTCTCTGTCTTCTCTACCCTGACATCCCATCCTTTTGCTAGAGAAACACCTCAGTTTCATTATTTTATCTCGCATCTACTTTTGAGCGGTTTTCTGCCTACAAGTAAGAGAGAAATCTAGTTTCCATCCAAGTATATTCTTCTTTCTATGATGGTAAGCTCTTCGTGATATTTACTTCAGTTTTATCTACCTTTTGATTTGTAGAACGTCCTCTTTGCTTGATTGATTATTGCTACTGTGTTTTCACACTCTAGTTCCTTTTCATTTTGAATTTAATTTTAATATAAAGATGATTATAGAGAGGTTATAGTTATGAAAGTCAGGTAAAGAATACATTTCTTTTCGAACAATGTTACTCCTCCACATGTTTCCTCCCACTTCTTAATCTCCTGACTCCTCTTCCGCTCCAAGATGTAAAATTCATTTCCAAAGCAGTGTCTAGTAAGTATTACTGTTAAATTGGCACATCTTTTGTCTCACTGTTTCTACTTGATTATTTCATTCCTTTTACTAACTTGCGGAAGTTTTTACCATTTCCTAAATTTTCTATAGCCATAGGTTTTTTTTTTAATTTTCTTTTATCTTCATTATTTTATTTTCAATTTTTAAAAATTACATTGTAAAGAAGATATACAAAGGGGTTACATAATTAAGCTAGTGAGTATATTTCTTTTTGAACAGTGTCACTCCCTCCTTCATTCTCCTTCAGTTTCTCCTATCCCGACTACTCTCCCTGACAAGGGGTATAGTTTCTGCCATATTGTCTAATGTGTATCATTGCTTAATTGTTTCACCTTTTGTCTCACCCTTTCTTTTTTCCATTCTCTTCCACAAATTAGATAAGCTTATATGCAAAACAGAGGGTAGAGGAATAACAAACAGGACAAGAGGGGATTAAACCAAAGAAAAGGCGAAAGGAAAAAATGGAAAAAGAGGAAAAAGAAGAACAGAAAACAGTACAATAAAAAAACACTTTGTTTCTAGTTCCTTCAGATGCAGTGCAGGTGCTTCAGCTAATTATCTGTTCTCTTGATTTATAGGAAAGGTTATGTTTTCCTTTTATTCCCCTTTTTCTATACCCATATGGTTTTCATTTTCATTTGTTCCAAGGAACAGTTTATTTCTTGAAATTTGCCTTGAAAACAATTCACTTTATTATGCATTAATCATTTAATTTAATTGAATAATCTTAATTATTATTTTACCACTTAATTTTGGTTAATGGATAATTCATGTAATTTTCATGTTATATGCTTATTTTCCTTGTTAATTTCTATCCTTACTATATGTGTTTGTATATATGCTCAATATACTTTCAACATTTTAAAAATCTGGATGGCTTTGTGTCCCAACCCATGATTGTTTGCTTGGAGAGAAGTTTTACTCAGAAGTTGAATGAGGTGTTCTGCTGGTGTATGTGAGGATCTTCTGATCAAGTGTGAAATTTAGATCTGCTGCCTCCCTGTTGATTTTGTCTGAATGATCCATCCATAAAATCTTCAGCTATTATTATATTGAGGACTATCAAAGTCTGCTTAACATAGTTTAGTGATTGTATAGTATGTAAATACACATTTTGAATTGCTACTTCATCTTGTAAATTTGATATCTTCATCATTACATTACAAAATATCACTTCATTGCTTTGATTAAAGTCTATTGGATATGTTATAGACACTCCTACTTTCTTTTGTATTTCAATTGTATTTACTGACCTTTCTTATACTCACTGAGGGCCATTGATGGTGAAGTGAGTTTCTTGGCATCAACGTTTCCTTTGGCCTTGAGTTTTTATTCATTCAGCCATTTTAGCTCTTACTGGTAGAATTTCATGCATTTACATTTGCAGTCATTGTTGACAGGTCACAGCTCCTTATTGCTATTATGTAATTTGTTCTCTATGTTAATTGAACTTCTTCAACTCTTTCTCTCCTTCAGTGGTTATGAAGGAAGTTCAATAGTAATGTCTTTTGATTACTGGATTATGAGCTTTCATTTGCTGTTATATATTTTCTGGTAATTACTGGGCTGAAAATAGATGGCAGGAAGCTATTTTGGAATAACAACTATTTGGGATGAGGAGGATGAAATAAAAAGAGAAAATAAACATACAAGCAATAGAGGGTTATGATCAAAGTCCATAAATGAATGTTCAGAAATGTCATAATGAAATCTTTTAATTTAATTTTAAATTAAATCTTTCATTTAATATATTAAGATGAAATGTTAAAGACAAACAGGAACTGCAACTGCATTATATTCCTCTTATCATTTGTAATATTGGATATCCAATTTTATATTCTACAGTAATTACAAGATATAATTATATTAACAATTTTTCCCTCTGCATAAAAATTGTGTGTGTGATTTTGCTAGCACATTTACAATTTTAGAGTATTTTCAACTAGTTTTATAGCCACTTTGACTAGTAGGTTTTATACATTCTTGAATATTTTTATTACTCATCAATGGTTCAATCTTTTGGACAGAATGCTTTTCTGTTAACTATGTAAAAATAACTGTTTATTTTTGTATACATTGGTTCCATAAACATTAAACATTTCCCATTTAAAAACTTCTTCAAACAGCTGTCTAACCCATTCTGATTTTCTCACAAAGTGGTCATGTTACATGGGCATTAAATTTGGATGACAAATAGAATACTTTGTTTACTTTTTTTTTGTGGAACAGGTGTGTGGGAGTATATTCTTTTAATTGTACTTGTCTGGGAATATCTTTACCCTTTTATCCTTCACTTCTAATGGATATCTTTGCTGGCAACAGTAATCTTAGTACACAATTTATCCATTTTTGTCCCTAATATTTTAAAGATTGTCTGCCGTGCTCTCCAGGATTCTATGGATTTTAATGAGGAGTCAGCCATTAGGAAAACAGAGGAATACTTATGTGTTATGAGTTCCATTTATAGCTTCTGTACACGAGTATGTGTTGTGGTTAAACATTTGATTAAGCTTTCATCTCTAGATATCTCATATTTCTATCATTGTCTACATTAGGAAATTTAAATCCTCAATACACTAATATTTGCTTTTTCAAAATAGTGTTGTCAGCTTTTGACCAATCATTTTCCACATGTCTTCATTCTTACTTTCAGGTTCCTCCTACATATGCATATGTTCAATTAGACTTTATTCAAGCTTACTATTTGTTTCTGTTTAGAAGACATCATTAACATGATAGGCTTCTAAAATTGAAATTTCAAGTATGTGTATACCATGTGTTAAACAAGTTAAACCTCACATTTTTATTTCTTTCTTGACTCCATTATTTCCTTTTTAAACAACATGTATTGATTCAATATTATTTCTTTAGAATGTGTGTGTACACATACTCACACCATTGCACAGACATAACAGAGAGAGAGAGAGAGCAAAGTGTTGATTCTCTTTATTCCTCTGTAGTCTTTCTAGAATCTCAACCTAACAATATTGAGAAGGCAATAGAGATTACTGCATTTTACAATGGTGGCTTTGAATCTTTGGATTTCAATGTAAAGCTTACAATTCTTTCATTACTCTTCATGTTGGACATTTCTTTCTCCATTATGATGTGCTTGCAGTTAGATTCATCCCCTTGGTTTTATTACATAAATAAGAATAAAATTCCTTCACCTGGTATTTGAGCTGTCTTCTGGCTGATATTGCAGGAAGAGCTGTTCAATATGTCAGGTCTGTTAGTTAGAGAAACTTAATATAGAATCTTCCTTAAATAACTATTGAAGATGTATTACTTAGTCCAGCCTGCCTTATAACCACATAAGATAAACTGGGTGACCGAAAACACAAGATTTTTCACACAGTGGAGCTAGTTACTCGAAGATAAAAAGCAAGATAATATTTGGTGTCTCATGAAAGACTATTCTATGTTTAACGGGCAACATTAGTGTTTGCTGTGGTGCATGTGATAATGGGGAATAAGCAAGCTCTCTCTTAAGTTTCTTAATCTTATGCATGACAAATTCCCTTCATGTCCTTAAACCCATAGACAAGCATAAAAGACTATATTTGCATTCCATCATAGTTGGGATAATGCTTTAACATATTCATTGGCAGAGAAGCAAGTATTTAGTCCATCAAATTGATGTTTTAAATTTCTATGCTCATTATGCAGGTTTATCTTCAACAACTACCAGTTTGTTTTGGCCTTGGCTTTTGCTATTGAAGAGATCAATGAAAATCCTCATATTTTACATAACTTGACACTAGGATTTAATATCTGTAATGCTCACATGGAAACTTGGAAAACATTTAAAAATCCCTTCACGAGCCTCTTTGGGAAGGACAACCTTCCAAACTACTCCTGTGTGAGAGTGAGCAAGTCTATAGCAGTACTGACAGGACCATCAGGATTATTATCTGCCCAGATTGGTATATTGCTGAACCTGTAAAGGTTTCCCCAGGTGAGAGTGGGAGGAGTGAAGGGATATAAAAAAGTATCTAATTTGGTGCCATTTCAGCTGTTAGAAGATAATTATAGGAAGATACTGGATTTATGAACCTATCAAATTTTGTGATATCAAGAGTAAGTATTCAAAGTAATAGAGATCCACATTACCATTTTTAGGAAAGGTACTGGAAAAGTGAGAGCCACAAAGAGATTGTTTGGACTTTTAAGCCTTGTCAATAATTTTCTTAAAAAATCAGGAAATGGAAAAATGACTTTAAAGTATAGCAATATGTTGAGCTGTGTCCTGATGGCTAACTGCAAACCTAGCTACTAAGGAGACATCTCTAATTAACCAACAAAAAGCAGGAAGTAATGTGTGGTTTGAGTGATAGAGAGGTAGCTTTGAGGGAGAGAGCCAAGGAAGTGCACGAGGCCATGAGTTCATGCCCCTACAATAGTACACACACACACACACTCTCTCTCTCTCTCTCACACACACATACGTGTGTGCGCATGCACGTAAGATATTATGTTGAATGATGTAACTCAGACTCACAAAGGGAAAGGGACATGTATTCTCTCATATGTGAAAGTTAAATCTAAAATATGAACATGTAATATAAAACAAATATAGGACACACACATATCCATTTACAAATAGATTTGATTAATCTGTAAACTATGGTACACATAGAGGTGGAATCCCATGGTATAACATTTCTGATCAACTAACAGATATAAATAACTAACACTAGAACATTGAAGCATAACTTGTCTGGGGAAAGTTGTTAGAGGGATGTGCAAAGGGGCAGAGAAATATGGAGTAGATGGGTGGGAAAATACAACATATCACATATATGTATGTATATGTCTATATATAGATATTTAGATATATATACATATTCAGATGTGTGTGTGAAAATGGACCTAGGAAAGTCAAGGAATGGGTAGAGTTGCTATAGATTGAATGAGTTGATGGAAATAGTGACAAAGATCAAGGAGCTTTGTAGGAACAAATTGAAATGTACAACTATTAAAAACATTTTTTTAAACTAAGAAAAATCTACCTTCCACCTACTTCAAATGGTTATTTAATACATATCATAAGTGAGATCATAATGGATAGAAATCTTCTCATTCATGGAGCATCCAATTTTCATTCCCTTTAGTTTACATTTGGGCCTTTTGATCATGCTCTGAGTGACCATAAGAACTTTCCTGCTCTGTATCAGATGGCCTCAAAGGACACATCGATAGCCATTGCCCTGATCTCCTTACTCCTTCATTTCAGCTGGAACTGGGTTGGACTATTGACCTCACAAGATGAGAATGGCTTGTGGATTCTTCCTGAATTGAAAGAAGAGATGGACAAGAATAGAATTTGTGTAGACTTTGAGCTAGCAATCCCAACCTCTGGCTTGGCATATGTTTTTAAAGTCATGGCACTTTATAAACAGATTAATAAATCTTCAGCAAACGTCCTCATCATACATGGTGATAATGAAGCCTTACTAGATATGGTAAGATGTATTGAGCAATTTTTAGTAAAAGGAAAAGTTTGTATCATGAACTCACAGCTAGAGTTCACCATGAGGAGGAAATATTTTGTATTATGTTCATTACATGTACCTCTCATTTTTTCACACCATCATCCAGATATTTTGGGATTCACAGATTTTGTCAAGGCAGTTAACCCTTTCAAATATCCAGAAGACTTTTTCCTAGCGAGGCTATGGTTTCTGTCTTTTAATTGTTCAGATTCAGAGTCAGACTGTGTAACGTGGGAGAACTGTCCTCACGAAGCCTCCTTGGATTTGTTGCCTGGACACATTTTTGACACGACTATGTCTGGAGACAGTTACCATATATACAATGCTGTGTATGCTGTGGCCCAGGCTCTCCATGAGCTGCTTCTTCATCAAACAGAAACACAAACAGTGGGAAAGAGGGAAGGGGCAGTGACTTCCCCTGCACAGGTAAGGCCTTCTGTGTTAGATGACATACCCCATACGCAATGTCACTTCCTAGATAGTTTTCATGCCATATAAAATTTAAGCATTTTTGGTATGTTTTCCAAAAACCAACAAATAATATTTGTTTAAATGTCTGTGAAGTACTCTGGACGTATTTTTGTGCTCTTCAGGAAAAGCAAGCCATAACAAGGATCAAGTGAGTTCCATGTTTCATAAATTCTTTTAATTACAAATAGCCTCAACATATTCATAGCAGATAGTTTTTCGTATTTTTTATTGTCAAGATGATATACAGAGCAGTTACAGTTACACAAGTAAGATAGTAAGTACATTTCTTGTCAAACTTGTTACCCCTTCATTCATTTTTCTCTTACTTTCCCTCCCCCTCCCCCTAAAATTGTACAGATCATTTCCAAAATATTGTCTTGTGTATATTGCTGTTGCTTTGGCCCCTACCTTATAGCAGATGTTTTGAAAACTATAAATGCACCTTGAGTTTCCCTATGAGTTTCTTATAGCAAAAGAATGACCTGCTGAAAAGAATTATCCACATTTTGCATAAGGAACCTAGTTTTATTCTACTTTAAATATTAAAATTTTACCAAGTTCATATTAGCAACATGCATAAAATTAGTGGTTGTGGGAAACAATGGCTAGACGACTGAGAGTCATCTTATTTGTGACTCTCTAGACTTGGTTTCTTTTGAAAAGATTGCATCTACCCCTTTGCTGAGTGACCAAGATTTGGCAAAATTATTTTCATACCTCCATAGATTTTCTTCTGGAATGCTTCATTAGGTGGTTCTACTATTCTTTCATTCTACATCAAAATTTAAAGGCAATCAGGAACTTTTTTTCTTCAGGTTTTCTTTCGTAACTCGGGATGTACTTCACCATAAGATGATGTATGTCTTTTAGCTGCACTTTTTTCTGAAGAACATCCAGTTTCACAATACTGCTGGAGATCAAGTGACTTTGGATGAGAAAAGGAAATTGGAAGCAGACTATGACATTGTAAACATATGGAATTTCCCAGAAGGTCTTGAACTTGAGGTGAAAGTAGGAAAGTTTTCTCCATATGCTCATCAACTGTCTTTATCTGAAGATATGGTACACTGGGCCATAGGAACTACAGAGGTGGGTTGGGTTTAAGTGCAATGATTTTAATTACATATAAGTAAGAAAATTTCAGCCTTAAAATGTATATCTGGTTGGATAACATATAAGAAAATTTCAGCCTTAAAATGTATATCTGGTTGGATGCCAGCAACCTATTCCTGTAATACTAGCTAATTAGGAGACTGAAATAAAATTATTGTGGTTTGAAGGCAGTCCAAGCAGGATCTTCTCTGAGAGGCTTATTTTCATTTAACCACCAAAAAAGCAGGGCTGGACACTATTGACTCATGCCTGTAAACCTATCTACTCAGGAGAAAGATATCCTCAGGTCTAAGATTACATATCTGTTGAAAGTCCAACTGGGCAGAAAAGTCTTTGAGACTCTTTTCTCAATTGACCATCAAAAACCTCAGATGGAACCTCAGGTCAAGTGGTAGAGTGCTTACCTTTAGGAGAAAAAAGCCCAAGGAAAATGAACATGTACTTATATCAAACCCTGGGACTAGGACAAAAAAAAATAGACATTCACAGTCTCTACATGGTGATTTAGAATAGTGTCATAAAATGCATATTTCTTTATTTTATTTTTTATTTTATTTTATTTTTTTGTGAACATACTGTACAGAGGGGTTACAATTACATGGGTAGGATAATGCATACATTTCTTATCAAGCATTGCAGCCTCCTCCTTTGTTTACCCTTCACATCCCTTCCCAGCCTCCCCCCCCACCCAATCTGTCCCCCCACCCCCCTCCCGCACCAATGTTGTAAAGCTCGTTTTCGACATGACTACTTGTACTTCTCATTGTTGCAACAAGTCCACCTGTATCTTTAAACGATTTGTTTTTCCCCATGTCATCCACAAGTTACACTGACATCAAATATAGTGAAACAGGGGTTATACTGTGGGATAGGGACATACAAAGCAACAAAGAGATAATCTTATAAATGCGTTAGAAATGAATGAAAGAAAAAACATTAAAATACATATCTAAGGGTTCATTTTCTTAACATCACATTATCTGACCTTTTCCACTTGACTCATACATATACAAGATATTGTAATAAGGGAAACCATGGGACCTATGTTTCTTTGGGCTTGGCTTACTTCATTTAATATAATTTTTTTCAAGTTTTTCTATTTCCTAACAAATGGGGCAATGTCCTTCTTTCTGATGGAGGCATAGAATTCCATTGTGTATATATACCACATTTTCTTGATCCATTCATCTACTGAGGGGCATCTGGTTTGGTTCCAGATCTTAGCTATGGTAAATAATGCTGCAATAAGCATAATTGTGCTGGTAGCTTTAGTGTGGTCTTGTTTGTAAACATTTGGGTAAATGCCCAAAAGTGGGATTGCTAGGTTATAGGGGAGCTCTATGTGAAGTCTTTTGAGAAACCTCCATACTGCTTTCCAAAGTGGTTGAACAAGTTTACATTCCCACCAACAATGAAGTAAGGTTCCCTTCTCTCCACATCTCTTCCAGCATCTGTTGTTGTTAGTGTTCTTGATTTTTGCCATTCTAACTTGAGTGAGGTTGTATCTCCATGTTGTTTTGATTTGCATTTCTTTTATAGCTAGGGACGTTGAGCATTTCTTCATGTGTCTATTGGCCATCCTTCTTTCTTCTTCAGAGAAGTTTCTCTTTAAGTCATTAGCACACTTATTTATTGGGCAGTTGTTTCTTTGAGGATTTGTTGTTGGGGTTTTAATTTTTTGATTTCCAAGTATATTTTAGAAATGAGACCCTTGTCTTGTTGTATGGCTAGTGAAGATCTTCTCCTAATCTGTGGGCTTTCTATTAATCTTGCTAGCTATGTCCTTTGCCATGCATAAGCACTGCAACTTCATGCAATCCCATTTGTCCAACCTTCCTTTGATTTGTTGTGTTTCCGGGTCTCTATTCAGAAAATTTCGGCTTGGGCCAAGGAGACCTAGGGCTTCTCCTATTCCATCCTGTGATGTTTTCAGAGTGTCTGTTTGACTCTGAGGTCTTTGATCCATTTGGAGTTGATTCTGGTGCAGGGTGATATATAAGGATCTAGCTTTAGTTTTCTACAAGTAGTTAACCAATTTTGCCAGCACCATTTACTGAAGAGGCTGTCTTTCTTTCATTCTATTGTTTTAGCTCCCGTATCGAAGATTAGATGGCTATAGGTCTGTAGGTTCATTTCTGGGTTTTATATTCTATTCCATTGGTCCTGAGATCTGTTCTCGTGCCAGTACCAAGCTGTTTTGATTACTATGGCTTCATAGTAGAGTTTGAAATTTGGTATTGATATTCCTCCAGCAGTGTTCTTTCCGTTGAAGAGCGTTTTTGCTATTCGGGGTCTTTTATTGTTCCATATGAATTTTTGGATTGCCTCTTCTATTTCCCTCAAGAATGAGGTTGGAATTTTGATAGGTATCGCGTTGAATTTGTAGATACCATTGTGAAGTATTGCCATTCTCACGATGTTAATCTTTCCAATCCAGGAGTATGGGAGGTTTTGCCATTTTCTAAGTTCTGTTTTGATTGCCTTTTACAAGATTTCAAAGTTTTCATCATAGAGGTCCTTCACTTCTTTGGTTAAGTTAATTCCTAGGTACTTTATTTTTTGTAGGGCTATTACAAATGGAGTTGCTTTCCTAATTTCAGCCCCATTTTTCTCATTGTTGGCATACAGAAAAGCCATTGATTTTGGGCGGTTAATTTTATACCCTGCTACTTTGCCAAAGTTTTGAATCAGCTTGAGTAATTTGGGAGTGAAATCTATGGGATTCTTTAAATAAAAGATCAGGTCATCTGCAAAGAGAGAGAGTATTATTTCTTCCTTCCCTATTTGGATCAACATTATGTCTGCATCTTGTCTTATTGCTGAAGCTAGGCAATTTAATACTAAATTGAAGAGAAGTGGAGAGAGTGGACATCCTTGTCTTGTTCCTGAGTTAAGAGGAAATGGCTTTAGTTTTTCAAAATTAAGTATAATGCTGGCTGTAGCTTTGTCATATACAGCCTTTATTGTATTGAGGAATGTTTCTTGGATTCCTAATTTTTCCAAAACCTTCATCATAAAGGGGTGTTGGATCTTGTCGAATGCTTTTTCTGCATCTGTTGAGATAACCATATGGTTATTTTCTTGCTCCTGTTGATGTGATGAATAATATTAATTGATTTGCGTATATTGAACCAGCTTTGCATCCCTGAAATGAATCCTGTTTGATCGTGGTGTATAATTTTTTGGAAGAATTGTTGAAGTTGGTTGGCCAAAATTTGTTGAGAACTTTTGAATCAATGTTCATCAAAGAAATGGTCTATAGTTCTCTTTCTTTGATGAGTCCTTGCCTGGTTTGGGGATGTGGGTTATGATGGCTTCATAGAATGTGTTTGGTAGTGAACTCTCCCTTTCAATTTCATTGAGGAGTTGGAGGAGTATTGGTGTGAGCTCTGCTTTGAAGGCTGTGTAAAATTCCGCTGTAACACCATCTGGTCCTGGACTTTTCTTAGCTGGCAGGTCTCTTATTGCTGTTTCTATTTCAATGCTTGATATGGGCCTGTTAAGATGGTTAAACTCATCTTGGTTTAGTTTTGGCATGTCAATATTTGCTAGGAAAAGGTCCATTTCTGTCAAGTTCTCAAACTTATTAGCATAAAGTTTTGAGAACTATTCCCTTTTAATGTTCTGAATCTTGGTTGTTTCTGTGGTGATGTTTCCATTCTCATCTATGAGTTTATTTATTTGGGTGTGTTCTCTTCTTTTTCTGATAAGATTTGCTAAGGGTTTGTCAATTTTGTTAAGTTTGTCGAAGAACCAACTCTTTGTTTTGTTGATTGTTTCTATAGTTTTTTTGGATTCTGATTCATTTAATTCTGATTTAATTTTAATTATTTCTTTCCGTCTACTGGATTGGGGTTTATCTTGCTACTCTTTATTAAAGAGGTTTAGATGTGTCATTAAATGGTTGGATGTAGCTCTCTCCAATTTGTTGATGTAGGAGCTCAGAGCTATAAACTTGCCTCTGAGTGCTGCTTTGCTGTGTCCCAGAGGAGCTGGTAATTTGTGTGTTCATTTTTGTTGAATAGCATGAAAATTAGAATTTCCTTTCTAATCTCTTCCATGACCCACTCGTGATTCAACAGTGTGTTTTTCAGCCTCCATGTGATCCCGGACTTTCTTTGGTGGCGTTTGGTGTTGAGTTCTAATTTTATTCCCTTGTGGTCAGATGGAATGCAAGGTATAACTTCAATGTTTCTGAATTTAGCCAAGATTGCTTTGTGGCGTAACATGTGGTCTATTTTAGAAAATGTTCCATGTGCTGCTGAGAAAAATGTGTATTCTGATGCTGCTAGGTGAAATGTTCAGTAGATGTCTGTTAAATCTAGTTGATCTATGCAGCTGTTTAGATCTGCGGTTTCTCTGTTGAGTTTTTGCCGAGTTGATCTATCTAGTGGGGAGATTGGTGTGTTAAAATCCCCAACAATTAGTGTCTTTGGATCTATATGGGATTTGAGAGAAAATAGTGTTTCTTGGATAAACGTGGGTGTTCCATTGTTTGGCGAATAGATATTTAGAATTGTAATATCCTCCTGAAGGAGATATCCCTTAATTTGTATGTATTGACCGTCTTTACTTCTTCTCACAAATTTTAATTTGAAGTCTATTTTATCTGATATTAGTATTGCAACTCCCACCTGTTTTATGGGGACCGTTTCCTTGGTAGATTTTGTTCCAGCCTTTAACATTGAAAATGTGTTTGTTTTTACGCCAAGATGTGACTCCTGAAGGCAGCAGATTGAAGGGTCTTGTTTTTTAATCCAACTAGACAGTCTAGGTTGCTTAATTGGAGAGTTAATTCCATTAACGTTAAGCTATAAGACTGAGAGATATTTGGGATTCTTGCCATGTTACCCACCTTTTTGGGGGCTGGGAAAACTGGTTTCTTCCTATGGTTCTTGGATTCTCAGTTTGGGTGCAGTTTCTTGGCCTTTATTGTGGTCTTGTTGGTTTTCTATGTGTAAGACATCTTTAAGAAT